TATTATCAAAAAAAATTTTATTTAAATATTTTAAATTTTAAAAAAAGTAGATTATAAGCAAATTTATAGTAATTTTCTAGGCAAATTTGCCTGGAATTGCTTTACAGTTTAAGGGATAATCTATTTTTATATTTTGACTAACAGTATATTTACATCTATTTCATCTTCTTTATCTATTATTCATAACAGCATTTTCTTCCTTTACACAAAACTTGTTCATTATCCTAAGTCTATACTTATACTTGGATTTCTCTTTCATCAAATAACATTTTTCTTGCTCCTTTTGAAGAGCGTTAGCAAATATTCTTTGGTTTACATCTTGCAAATGAACTTCTAATTCTTCCAACCATCTTCTTAAACCTCTTCTTTCATTTTGCAACTTACAAAATACAATTTCTATTACTTAATACATTATTTATTTACTTATTCCTATAAATACCAAACTCATAACTTAAACTATACCTTTGTTCTATAGTAAAGCCTATACCGTAAAACTCATAAGGATAATGTTTTCTAAGCTTTTCTTCAAAATTATCCTCAGTAACTTCAATAATTTCCCTTGCAACTTCTACAAATAAAATATTTATCAAATCTTTTTAAATTACTTCATATATAATGTCATTTACCCATTTTTCAAAACTATTATCAAATCCAAAATCCAAACTTTAATTTAAATCAAACAAAATCACATGTGGTATAACATTACACATCCTATAGATTAACTAATATACATACGTAGATAATCCCAAATTTCTTATTGAAAACTCTAAATCTAAAACAAGATCTTCAAAAAACCTGCATTTTTGTTTTTTATTGTGTTCACACATGTAGTATAGTGGTTAGAGCATTGCATACCCTATGGGCCAAATGTTTGACTCCACCAGTAGCATGCTAGATCTGGTGCACCATGAAAGCATTACCAACTACATTATCCAGTGCTGTTTTTATATACTTTTATTCTTTTTTTTACTTTCTTTTTACTTTACTTTACTATTCTTTTTCTTCTTTATTATTATACTTTCTTTTTTTTCTCGACTCTTTTCTTTTTCGCTTTTCTAAACTTTTTCTTTTAAATCTAAATTACTCATCTTATTTAATTTTCACAAAACTATTAATATTACTATCTTCTTTTTCTCTCTCTCTTTTTAACTTCACTTAAATTTTTCTAAAAAAAATATTATACTTATTTATATTACAAAAAATCTATATCTTATACATCCTATAGTATCTCTATAAAACTTTATACTTATCTAGAACTCATCTAGATTTGTATAAAGTTTTCAAATCTAGATGAGTCTTGGCCACTCTAGTAGGTTTAGGTCGCAAATAATTAGTTTGAGCTTTTAGTTTAAGCTTTTAGTTTGAGCTTTTATTTTTGAATATAATTTATATTTATTTGTTATTATACAAATTAAGTTTTTATATAGTTGATATATAATTACTTATATAAATTAATTAATAAAGATATGAGCAAGTTCTCACCTTAATACCAAAAAAAAAAAAATAAATAAAAAAAAATAAAAAAAAGCTAATAGATTAATGTTTTAAGAAATATATTACATATTAGTTTAATGACAAAAATAAATATTGAAAAATTAATATATAAGGTAGATATGCCTAATTTGGCACAGTTCCCAATTTGACGCAGTTATGATATCTCATATTCTAATAATCAGATTCATGTGATTTTGGCACTGTTCGACTTGTCTCATTGAGACAAGTTAACAGTACCAAAATTATATAAATCTAATTATGAGAATACGAGATATCACTATTTAATTGATCTAAACTTTGTATAACATTAAAACTATAATGATTTGGATCATTTTTTTAGTTAACAATTATAAGCATATTTAAATGGCACAAATAAATTTTATGATCTTACTAACTTAAAAAAAAGATGTGAAAATTGATTAGTTGTAAATATTTACAGATAAAACTATGTAATACCATATTGTAATTTCAAACCATCTTTAAGTAAATAAAATTAGTAAATAAAAAAATTAAACTTAGTAAAAAAAATAAACTTAGAAGTGAAGAGTAAAATTTATTAAAATCGAAAATTTAAAAACATGTATAGTGATTATAATACTAGATGTAGTACTATTAATAATGCTCTTAAGGCAATTAAAAACACCCAAAATAATTCAAAAGTCCCTAGTATTAGAAGTATTGCACGAGACTATGATCTTTCAGAAGCAACCCTTAGACATGTCATCAAAAATAATGGTTCTTTTGATCATCTTGGCTGAGCTAAAATTTTAACAATCTACAAAGAAGAACAGCTTGTAGGCTACTGCTTGAATATGCAAAAGCTTGGTTTTGGGTTGACTAGATCTGGTGTAAACCAGTGCGTTATGAATATTGTTTGTTGGAGTGGGCGGCCCAATTCTTTTAGTAAGAATAGACCAAAACAAAAATAGTGAAAATGCTTTATAAGAGATCATTCAGAACTTTCATTCCATATTCTACAAGCCCTAGACGAAGCTTATGCATAAAAAGCAAACCCTGTCATCGTTAATGACTACTTCAATAAACTTAAAAAAATCATTCTGAATATTCACTTACTGCTAATCGAATTTGAAACATGGTTTTTTTATTTTTTTTTTATTTTAATTTTTTAATTTTAATTTTTTTTTATTATTATTGTTTTTTTTAAGGATGAAACAGAGGTTTATAATTGAGTCTAGGCTTCAAAAAGTTGTAGCCAAAAAGAGGGCACATCAAGTTTATTGGGTTTCAAATAGTAGCACCCATAAGTATATTTCTGTATACCCAACCATATCAGCCACCAGAACATATATCCCACCATTAAGGAAAAATGAATGATTCCAGGCCTTCTAAACGATGCACTTGCTAGCTTTGTTATAGGATTTACTAAAACAAAATACATGCGAAAAAGCCTGTTTCAAAAATATATTGAGCATTTTGTTAGTTCTATTCTGCCTGTGTGTTTAGTATTGCTAATTCTAGACAGTCATAAAAGTCATATCAATTATACTAGTGTCAATTATTGTTATGAGTATAAAATTCTTTTTAACACTCTTTCTCCTCCTCATACTATCCACATTTTACAACCAGCCGAATTACTATTCGCTACACTAAAGAGAGGATAAAGAATGTGAAAAATTTTAAACTAATTATAATGGTAAAAATATAACGAAATATATGTTTGCTGAAGTGTTGAGGCTGTTCTATATTGCAATCTATATGCCCATAACAATATGCAATACCTTTAAAATTACAAAAATTTGGCTATTCAACTCTAGTGCAATTGGCTCTGACCATCTAGATTCTTCATTGGCAACAGAATATACCTATATTCTACAAATCCTTGAACAGCAACTTTCTTTTTCTTTATTGTCTTTCTCAACATTACAACCGTCTTTTTTATCACCACAATCATCTTCTTTATCTTCACAATTATCTTCTTCATCTTCACAATTGCTGTCATTTTCATTTTCATCACAATCGTTGTTGTTATCTTCATGATCATCTTTTTCAAAGCTTGTTCAAAGTTTTACATGCCTTACTAGATCTAACTCTACAAAAAAAAAGCTTATATCAGAACTTAAGTTGCTAAATAAAAGAGTTGAACAACTAGAGAAAGAGGTTGGAACCATCAAAAACCCTGGTACAAACCTTTTGCAGTTAATACTTAAATATTCTCTATATTATAGCCCACAAACTAAAGATCCAGAGATTGATAAAGAGCAAACTAGCTTCCAATTTCCAAAAAGAAAAAAGAGAAAAACAATGCCTTTCTCCTAGCTTCTGACAATGAAAGGTCACTGCAACAATTAAAAGAAGTGGAGGAGAAGGTAGAAAAAATAGCTAACAAGAAAAAACATAAAAAGGAAATAGCTATTCAAAAACAAAAAGCATGTAAAGAAGAAAAAGCCTAGAGGCAAGAAGCCTGGAAACAAAAAAAAAAAAATACAGAACATATTAGAGCAGAAAATAAAAAAATGCAGAACATATTAGAGTAGAAAAAAAACGTAAAATGACTTGAGAAAGCCTTTTATCATAGTGCATCAAATTAGGGTGATTACTTGATAATCTCGATTTTAAAAAGCTTTTATACTAGAATATGAAAAAAAAATTTTTTAGGTTTTAAAAAAAAATTTTTTAAATAAATGCTTATTTTGAAATAAAATAAATCGAATTTAGTAAAAATTTATATGTCTTTATACTGATTCTATAAAAACTAGCTATTGACAAAGTTAGCTGCACCAAATTAGGCATATCTACCTTATACATATAAAATTAAAGTAATATACATTAATAAATCGCATGTTGACTTATAATATTATAACAAGCGATGATTAGTAATTTTACACGGTGTAATGTATATATTTATTCTTCTAATATATCAGTTTTAAAATAATTTTATACTAGTAACTTGAAACTTCTTTTTGTTTTAATTGATTTAGTTTAATAGAATTAAGCATGCTTAATAATTTATTACTTTGATAGCTTGGTAAACTTAAAAAGCAGAATTAGATTCACTTAATGATTTGTTTTAATATTTACAAAGAAATTATTATTATTTGTTATAAGTTTATTTATATTTATTGTAGTTATAAAATATAATATAAAATTGTAACTTAAACATATTTTTAGATAAACAATATTTGCTTAAATCTTTATAAATAAAATTTAACAAATTTATGTAATTCTATAATTGTAAATATTTATTTATATAATAATATATAAATTTTTTTTTTTTAGATGCTAAAGTGATCTCTTTGGCTAGAGGACTTTTTATTAGAAGTATATTTTAGTTACAGTAAGGGTATATCAAGCCACATGTATATTTTTGGTATTTAATTTAAGTAGGCATCTAAAGGTTTTACACTATCTGCTATATTTGCACCTCAACTATGAAGATACCAATTTAAACCTCTAATTATAACCTAATTCCTATTTTATAAGTAACCTCTAACCAGCATAGTGGATATTTGTTTTAATTGGTCAAAAAATGTAAACAAGTAAACAAAATGCATAATGTAGTTCACTATATAAATTTAAATATATATGCTAAAACAAGTACATATTATACTAATATACAAACTAATAAATACGCAAAAAAAAATTTGTTACATTTTAAAAATGTATAGATAATATTACTAATAAACCCAAGCTTCAAATCGATTAAATTTCAATATGTGAATAAATTATTAATGAAGCTATCTTTTATTCTACTGTATATTTTGAAAAGTAATTTTATTTTATTTTTAGTTATTACAACCTTTATTAAAAACGCGACATAATCCTTAGTCTATATAATTAATAAACCAATAATCACTTATAATGCTTATATATATTATTAACTGTTACTTAATCCAGTTATATTTATTACTCTAGTAGTATAGCTCTATAAACGTAAAATATACTGTAAACAAGTACAAGTTTATTATTATTATTATATATATCACATTAAACAGTACACTCAAAGTTCTAAGTTTAAAGCTTATATGTAATGTCTCAATCTTCTTTTTTTATTACCTGTTTTTGGCGTTTAAAACTTCCATATAGTTAACATAGCCAGTATTAGCAGTATATAATAAAAATATTCGCTTCTAAGTGAAGTTCTTGGAAAGGTGGGTTATTTTGGATTAGTGAATATCTATGTTCATTTAAAGCTAGAATTTGCTTTTATAACAGTTTTTTTGTTAGTGAAATGTTATGTTTCCAAAAAGTATTTAAAGTGTATAAATAAGCTACCTGTTTACATCAGCCAATCAGATGAAAGTCATTCTATGGCTTACAACCTTTTAGCTAATTTATAAACCTTGTTGCCCATATATCATTTGGATCAATTTTTAATAATTTCTCAAGTCAGCAATTGATTAATTATACCTTTCTTCATATAATTAACTCCTCTTAAAGCTATTGTATTATCTGGTTTAATTTCTAGCCTATAATAAAATATAATTTGTAATTCGATTGCATTATTTGGTTTTTTTCAAGCAATTTTATTAAATCATCGATTAAACTAGCATACAAATCTTAAATATATAATTTTATTATTTATTATCATTATGGCTTTTTAATAAATGCGTAGCTAAAAATTCTCTAACTTTACTGACAATCATCATACCCAGTGTTGTCATGTCCAATCTAAATCATTGGATCTTGGACATCCAATGTCCAATCAAAACCATTAGACATTAGACATCCAAAGTCCAAAACTCATAATTAGACTTTGGATTAGGCGTCCAATTCAAGCTATCCAAGCATCCAATTTTGTCCAATGCGCATCATTGACTATATCTAATAACAATTTACTAATATGAGTGCTATTAAAGAAAAACATGTTATTGGACTTTCAATTATATTTAGTAACAAACACAATCTCTAAGATTGTACTGTATAAAATATAATTAAAAGTCAGTAACCGATTTTCACTTGACAACACTTATATATACTTCAAATACTTACTTAAACTCCTTGTGATGTCACTAAATAAACTGTTAATAAAGTGCACTGCACTGGTAGCTAAGACCTAAACAGCATAAAATTTAAACTGCAATAGGGCATAATCTAAATTTTTTTGAAACGGCATTATACAGTATAACAAAAATTGCTAGAATGTATATAAATCTAATTGAATCTAATAAACCTAATATGGTGACCGGAAATGCATCCTGACCCATACAATATAATATCATGATGACCTAAACAACATCTGATCACTAGTTGATCATGTTAAAAGCTAGAACATCTAAAAAATAAGATACATATAACATAGTAATGATCTATGAATGAATTCTAACCAAATTTGATCTTATCTAAAAGGAATTCATTCAATTACATTTTCATGTTTATATGATCATCGACATATTATTTAATCTATTGAAAAAATCCATTCGTTTACACATTTGTAGTTGTAGCCTTAGATGGAAATTTATTAATACAATCAATACATCCTTATTTTCATTAGTTTATCTATGTGTTGTTTTCTGATAGTCGCATGTTTTGTGAATATTATCTGATCTATTAAAAAGAATTCATTCAATTGCATATTTGTAGTTTGTAACCTTAGGTTGAATTCTTTAATACTGTTACAGGTGAATCGTACGATCGATAATCTATACTCTTAAATATAGACCTTATGATATAAGGCAACTCTCTAGGGGCGTGACATTAATGATTTGGGTCATATATAATAAGAAGAGAAGTATGATCAAGTTAGTAAACTTATATGCTCTACCTCGCACATAAGTGTCATAACAAACCTTAACCAAGTTGCATACCTTTTATAATTTCAAAGGACTAGTGAAGCTTAAACATAACTCACCTTATTTTATAATAGCATGATCTTTTATCAGATGGTGAATTTCATAAATTATCTATGCCTCCACAGTTAAATTATGAGCCAGTTTGTCAATAATATTATTTTACTCTGTGACAATACAAACATTGACATTCTTATTTCTATTTGTTCGTTCTTGTGTTGTTTTCTGGTGGTTACATTGTGTAAATATTATTTGATCTTGAAAGGTATCTATTCTATTACATATTTATAATTTGTTAGAGTTCCAATCCAGTTAGCGTTCATCAGGATAATTATTAGATATTCAGATTAGAACTCTATAATTTGTAGCCTTATATTGAAATTCTTTAATAAAATCATCGATATCTTATTCTATTTATCCAGCTAGCTATATTTTATGTTGATTACAAATCGATTAAACAGCTTTTAAAAAATTATAAAAATGTGTATAGAATTAAATAGCTTACCTAAATGCTACAATTCCAATAACTAAAGTGCCACAAAATTGTAAAAATCCATTAATTTAATTAGATTATTCTAAACACATTATAGCATTAGTCTATTTTTACAAGTGTAGGAAAAGGAAGTTAGCTAAAAAAGCTTTTAGTTGGTTTAAAAAGTTTCTCAGCATGTTTTACGTGAATGACAACTATGTGGCGTGATGGTAGACAGCACAAACTTACTTGAACTATAACAATTTCAAAATAGTAATCTTACCTATATATGATTCCCAAAACGATGACCTAGTAATGGCACGTAAATGAATAAAGAAATAGATATTATAGAAGTAAACAAATGGTAAATAACCTGTAACTACTTGTGATTACATCATACCTCATACAAAATATAATTTACCTTCTAATATTTATGCATTCTTTGATTTTTATTAATTCATCGCTATTAATTGAAATATATATTAGATAAGGCTTAATTTTAAATAAACCAAAAACATAAACTCTTTAAATAAATTTACCAGAATATTTAAAATTATCATTGCTGAAGTTCACTTTACTAACCTGCCTTGCGATCTAAACCCAACACAAGGATATAAAATGCTTTTGAAATTGCTATGTAGATAGCACGCAATTCCTTAAAATATTTTATAATTATTAAATTTCTTTCTATATGTTTTAAAAAATATAACTTTTAATTATAATATTGGTTATCTAAGTTAAATCCATTTTATATAGTATAAAATACTATGTTTTCGATAGCATCCAACTATATCGCCAGTAATATATCCAAGACATAATAAATTATATAGCATGCTGCTTCCTGGCTACCTTTTTCTAAAAGAACTTGGTTACATTTACTAAAAGCAATGCAAAAAAATAATAGAAATCATAGCTTCAGAACAATGAATCTATTTTTTTTATTCCAATCTTTGACTTATATCAAATATATAAAAATCACATATAATATGATTAATTGACCTGCATTAAATCTTGTTTCGGGATATTTTTGTAGTTTTAGTTTGTTTTCTAAGAACATC